TCTCTTCATATCCCTCCTTCATATCCCAAACTTTTGTAGGGCATTCTTCTGGATCCAGCCCTTGGCCCTTGACTCCACCCCTTTTTCTTTCTAAAGGACCAATGATCACTATAAAATGCACTGTCCCCAGGTCCTCTGAGCTATTTTACACTACACACCCAGAATGACTCTTGGTTCCTTATTTCTACTGCTGCCTCCTTGTTCTCCTGCCCAGAGTAAATTAGGGTCCAGCCTTCTTGTAATATTTTTTTGCCTACTACAAAGAATTAGAGGAGAAAATGTATTTCCAGGCAGTGAAGTTATTGAACATTTAGAAACAAGGAACATATATGTGCAAAGAAGCATAGTTTAGAATTTCTTTGGCTTCTCTTCACTCTTCTATGAATGAATCAGTGCACAGAGATTAAATTTGGCATTTCAGTATCTCACTGATATTCCACGGAAAGATTCCTAACGTTACAATTACTTACATGTGTTCTACACCTGAAGTACATTTCCCAGTGTGGCATCACAATGACTGTGCTTCCAGAGTAGGTGTCAGTGTTCTTTCAATACAATGCAGCAGCAGTACAAACTTGGGATGTTAATCCAGGAAGAAGATAAATTGTACATCACTATTTTGGTGCAAATCCTGCTTTAAAGGGACCACCCAGGTGAAAGACAAAGCTTTGCATATGGCAGTGTACAATATGTGCTATTATTCAAATGTGAGGAATTGTGCCCTGAAGACGGGAAATAGAGAAGACTTCATCTTTGTGATGCTGGAAATCCTAATCAAATCAATGCTAAGAAATAAACAATGAGTTTATCTGTATAAAAAGCCTGTACTCTCTCTAACGCCTGTTCTGCACTGAGCTAATGAAATGATTGCAGCGTACTAAAGAACAAGTATATCCCCTTTCCCTTTCTAAAATCATCTACATTTTTCACAGTGTAAATAGAAGTCAGAACTAACTTCAAATCAGTTTTTTTTCCCTTCTTCTATTTAAATGAATGAACTGTCTCAATCAGGTATGCATTTGTGAATATAATTTATTGCTAATTGCTACTGTGGACATAGTAGTTATGCTGTTTGGAAATATGTTTCATTTGCATGTACATCACTTTAATCAATGTTCCTGTTTTTTGTTTGGGAAATCTTGTGTGAATCAAACTGAAAACCACCAAATCAGGGCAATAGTTGATAAATGGAATGCAAGAAACTTGTATTCCACCTGATCCTGTATACTTAGTTGAAAATCAATCCAGGGAATGCAAAGTCTTTTTGATAATAAGGACTATTGCTGTTACCCCAAGAACAGACTCAGGGATACCCGAGTACCCCTCCTGTTGCTTACTTCCAGGTTCCCAAGATGTTGATCTGTTAATCTGTTCCTTCAAGGAGAAAGGAGCAGGCCTGCTCTAGTAGAATTGCCAGGGTTAACCGAAGATCTCCCATCTGTCCTTCAGAAAACTCCCCAGAACAGACTAGATTTGTTCACCTCTGGGAGAACACGGATACATTCCTCTGGTCAAAAGATTGACACCCAGGCAATACTTTTCCAAAACAAAGTATTTTCTGTATTTAGTGTAACCAACCTTTTCTAATACAATTAATCTAAACCTAAATCAAAACATAAACATAAATCTCTTAGCACAGGTATACAAGCTAAAGTATCCAATATTGTAATGTTATACAGTTGAAATGGCTTAAGTGATTATGTTCTGCACATGGTGATCAGTCATATGTAGGACACTGCCAGCAATCTTAATAAACTCTTAACTTTATACATGGTAACATAAACATACACACTACAGACACTCATCTTTATTATCCCAACTGTACATATTCATTAACCCTACTTCTATTCTATATCCTACACTCTACCTAGCATGCTTACTCTCCATAGATTATTCTTCCTCTGTTTTGTCAGGGTCCTTCTGGTCTGCACTAGAAGCACTGCTGCTTCTTCTGATGTTCATTTGGTTCTCCTTCTTTATCTCCTACTCTTGATTTGACTGACTTTTGCCTGCTTGCTCTCTGTCTTTTATACAATTTTTGACCTGTTCTGATTTGCTTGTTTCCCAATCCTAGCATTAGCATACCTATCCTCTAATCACCTTCAGACTCTCTCTGATTGGTCCATACTTATAGACCAATCACAACTGCTAAATGTAACTGTCAATCAAAGCTGTTATACAACAAGTTTTAGTATTATGGGATATTTACTATTATGGGATGGTGACCCTAACCTAGTTTTGGACTGAGCATGCCTGACTGAGCTCTCCTTGCAGCGTTGGAGTGACCTTTACTTGACCTCAGTCCATATCTGCCTACCAACACACTAGCCATAGGCCAAAACTGCCATCTCTCTGTCATTGGCTGAGTGCCAACATTGTATGCACACTTAAATTACCAAACGTTTGAACTATAAACCATCTTCTTATTTCTTTACTATATGCTTAATTGTTAATGTATGGACCTTAATGGTATGGTCTACTGCTGTCACCCAGTTTCTTACCAATGTAGTTAATTTTAGTTCAGTTCTTCCCATTTTCAGTTAATGGTAGCAAAGCAATGTTTTCAGTTCTGTGCATAAGAAACAAAATAGAGCAGCTCAAAACCCTTCCTATCATCCTGGCCTTTAATTGGTGTAACAGAGTTGTAGAATCCCTATGGCAGAGACTGGAAACCCCAGTTGTTCCAGGCACAGAAAAAATTTCATTCCATTATTAACTGTAGTAATTGCATATATTTAAGTTCAGCAGGGAAGAGCAGCAGACTGTATTTGTCTGCATTTGGGAAACCTTTACACTGCTCACCTTCTTTAATATCAGTTCATATCACTTATTGTGGGAGAGTAATGATAGAAGTGGGTCATGTGGATCATGATTTGTGAGTTCAATGTATCCTAAAATTCTGTGGTTTCAACTAGCAAAGGAGGTCTTACTTTATTCAAAACTTCACACAGAAGAGTTGTAAGAAGGTGACTACCTTATTTTCACCTCATGTAGGTCTAGTTGCAAGGAAATAAACACATGCCCATGTCACATTTAGCTATTCATGTAGTACAACAAACTAGCCCTGATTTATCCTGAGACAGATGCATTATGTGCATTGCCTGCAGAGTATCCAGTTTTACACTCATTCTACCCAGAATCCCAGTGCACCTATTTCATAGGTAACCGTCTACGTCCATGTTTTTATTTTATTTTATGTAAACAAGCAATTACTTAAGCCCCAGATTCACCAAAGGATTTAGGTGCCTAACTCGGGGGAAGGTGAGTGTTAGCACCTGTGTATAATCTGTAACACATGGATGGTCAAGGGGTCATGAACAGGTACTGAGAGTAGTCATGACCATGATCCCTTTCTAAAGGGAGATCTAAAAACTTTTTTCTGTTGTAACTCAGATGGTAAAGGTTGAGAACCACTGATCTAACATGCATTTAGAATATTATGTGTAGTGTGCAGTGTCTCCGTATGATTTTTGGAAACCCATATTTTCTAGGGCAGGAATCATGTTTTCTTTGTTCTTTTACAGCATTGAGCATGTTATTGGTGCCCAGTAAATTTCTCTCATTTGGACATTTATATATTATCACAGTCAGGAGTGTTTTCCTTCTACCTTCCAGCGGGAGAAGCTGTGTGTCAGCCTATCCAGCAGAAGATATAATTTTCTCACCACAACTATTTTTTTTAAAGAATAAACAACTGAACTGTAGGAGGCTCAACATTTGAGCTGCATCAACAAATATCCAAGTCACATCAGCTTTTTTGTTTGTTTGTTACAAACAGGAAGGAAAATCCTTTTTCAAGGCTATGTTTATTTAAAACTCCTACTGCACATTTCTAATAAATTTACTCAGATCCCTGAGTAACCCTTCTCTAGGTAAAAATAAAGAGTAAATTCATTTCAGAATAACACCAAGTGAACTCAAAAAAACAATCATATGCACACATAGGGGGGGTAAACTAGCCACTAAGCTTTTCTCCTCCAATTCCTCCTCCAACACCTTATCCTCTTTTCTTTTAATGGGAAGCGCAGAACGCCCCTGCTCTGCTGTCCTGGGGAACACACAGCTGCTTACTTTTATCTCACAATTTGGGTGGAGGGAGGAAGGAACGCTTGATGGCAGCATATATTTTATAATACCATTGTGAGGGTGATAGTTGTGAATTGGGATGGGGTACTATTGACCCATGAGGGTTTGCTGTATGGTCAAAAGGCCTGAACTTGCTAATCTTGTTCAAGAGTCATGATTTTGTGACCCTGTTTTACAAAGCAGAGCTTAGGTTCAATTTCATCTACAGACCTAAATATGAACACAAGTGTGTGAGTTATAGAGAATCTTTCATAAGTTACTGAATGTGTCTCTGTTAAAAATATAGACTTGTAACTGGCAGGGTACTGCTCCAGGAAGCTACAATTCTAGGTTCTTGTCCTGCCACGGGGAAAAAGCCTGAAGGATTTGCTGTGTTGGTATCATTGTCTGCTTTCTCTCAAAGTGAATTCTCCTGGGATACAGGAGTAATTTACACTTCCCTGCTCCTGCAGTAATATATCAGGCTCATCTTCTTTTGAACGTATATCTTTAAAGAATAATTTTTTTAACATTTGTAAGAAAAAGAAAAATATTACTGTGGGCTAAGAATTCATATGTACAACCTCAGAACATACGTTCACATTCAAGGAATAAACCTCTGAAAACAGTGGTTTGGAAAGGAATTACTTGCTAAACCCAACCTAACTATAGTGCAGCATGATTAAAGTTGTTATAACAAAGCAAGTGAACTTGTTAAAGTGTACAGGAGTTTCATATTTACATACTGCTTTTTTTAATCTCATACATACCCAAATTTATACACATTACCTAATGTAACACCGAGGTTTTTCTCTTTTCTTCCTGTGACAAATTTTATATTTATGATATGTGATTGTGGTGCCAATTAAAAGTTTTGATTGTGGTGCCAATTAAATTAGTGTTAAAGATTATTTTTTTCACTGTTTTAATTTCAGGTTTGGATTCTCTAACAGGGCATGCATTTCCAGGTAAAGTTACAGTTAGATATTGTGTAACCTTGTGCGTTTTATATTTATTTTGTTTATATGCTTTTTTCTTTGTTTGTTCTTTGTCAAATTGTGTGGTTCCCCCACATGCCATTTCATGTGAAAGCTATGCCTTAAGATTTTTAGTCCAGGTACATGAAGAGGAGAAACCAATATCAATCTTAAAAAAATATAAATGAAAATCTGTTTGCAATGGGAACAACGCCATCTTTAAAAATTAAAAACAAACCAAAGGAAAAAGATTGTGGAACTAAAAATTTCAAGTCCAAATTAGAATAATTGAAATGAGTTCAAAGTGGAGCTCAGTTTAATAATCTGGTAACATTAATAAGCCTATGCCTGGATAATGATTTAGGAAGTGTAAGATTCTGTTTCCACCCTGCTGAAGTTTTGAACAGTCATGGGATGGTGTCCTGTAGAGAGTCAAACTTGAATGGGGTACATCATTATAGTAATTCTCACAACTTTCCTGCACACAATTATATCTAACATGACATGACCAACATGATTTAAAATAAAAATATTCCCTGTGATGGCTGGATTAGCATTATTATATCCTCAGAGCCATAGTTTACTTAACCAATGTAAACATTTTGGGCTGGGAATTTTCCAGTCAGCAACTAGATTTGATGCTCATTGATCAAGTGAATTTCTACATTGTGCCTGGAATGTAGTTTTTACTGAATGTATCAAAATTATGATGCAATAGTGCGTTTAAATGAGCAGTCTCCCTAATGCTGCAAGCTTTCTCTGTTTTACAAATGTCCAAATGTCCACCTCTACTCAAAATGTCCCTTCATGGTAGAGCAATGAGTCAAATAAAATGAAACAGGCGGTGAAATCCAAGACATAACGTGTTAGGTATCCAAGGAGTTGTTGACCCAAAGGTAGAGATTATATGTCTCCATTTTAATAGAACAGTCTTGGTCTTTCATATAATATCCAAGTGCCTGAATGTCTTTTGGGACACTTCAAGTTTATCTTTGTTTTCATGCAATCAATAAATGTGTTATTTTAAATAACTACAGAAGGGAGACGGTTTTGTGCTGGGCTTTTCAGGTGCTCATGTGGGGGCCAGATTCTGCCATCCTTACTCAATAAGTACTTTACTCTATGAGTAGTCCCACTGGTATAAATGAGAATACTCATGAAGTAATATACCTCCAGTCGATCTAAGGGTTCTGTAAATCTGTTTCTTAATATAGGAATAAAATCACTGCTGAGTCAGAAGTTGGCAGAAGTAGCATCAGTACACATTTGTTAAAAACAACAAAAAACAGCCTTTTTAGTTTGAAAAGATGGCCACTTTAACAGAAGGAGATTACTCAAGCTGACTAACAGTAGGGTTTCAGTATTATTTTGTATGAAACAAAGGAGTGGGAAGGAGACTCCATGTTTGTTCTGCCTAGAAAACATCCAGTGTAAAGGCCAAATGCATCCCAAGTGTAAGCACATGCAACTCTTTCAAAAGACCCTTTGCATAACAGGGATACATATATCCTGTGCACAGTCAACCATCAAAGAGATGCAGATTGATAATATCTGTGTCCATGAGGAGTAAAAGCCTGGAAACGGGGATTTGATTTATACAGGCTCCAAATAGAGATCTACTTAACCCAGAGAAACCATTTCCTGAGTCTTCAGTGCTGCTTGATACTGCTCAGTTGGCTGCTACTTCTCCACCATAGCTTAGTTTAGCCAAGGCACCAGCTTCTGGTTTATTAGCATTTGTTATGGAAGGAGATTTCATTCCCTGGCAAATGCGACAAATAGCCTGTCCCTGCACACACACAATTTTTCTGGCAGAGTTGTGACACTTTCTTTCCTCACAGAGAGATTTATCTCCAGTGCGGGATGCTTTACAATGCCCCCTAGGTGAGGACTGTATGCTTATCTTTGGTCATTAGTTATTAATTGTCTCCTCCTGTGGTATTTCAGCAAGCCATATATGTAACTATGTTAGCTTTGCTGACTTAGGCCCTTGTCCTGTTTACATTCATATGCATTCCCACTGACTTCATAGGGATACTGTGGGGAGTGAAAGGGTCTAAAGCTGTGGATCTTTAAGTGGATTCACACCACTAGAATAAAATCACTGTCTTGTATGGACGTGTTAGTTATGAAATTTAAGGCTCTTCATTGATGGAAACTCTAACCACCCAAAATATATGGGTCTTTGTATCATTTTTGTTTCTCTCCCCTAAACTCTCTCCATTTTGTCTACATCTTTCTTAAAGCGAGGTGCCCAAAACAGGATGCAATATTCCAGCTGAGGCCTCACCCATGCAAAGCAGAATGGAACAGTTACTTCCTGTCAGTACACGCAATAATTATGTTAGCCTTTTTCGCAATGGCATCACATCATTGGCTCATGTTCAATTTGTGATTTACTATAATTCTCAGATCCTTTTTGGAGGATATAGTGTACTTGGACTTTCAGAAAGCCTTTGACAAGGTCCCTCACCAAAATCTCTTAAGCAAAGTAAGCAGTCATGGGATAAGAGAGAAGGTCCTCTCATGGATCAGTAACTGGTGAAAAGTTAGGAAACAAAGGATAGGAATAAATGGTCAGTTTTCAGAATGGAGAGAGGTAAATAGTGGTGTCCCCCAGGGATCTGTACTGGGACCAGTGCTGTTCACCCTATTCATAAATGAGCCAGAAAAAGGAGTACACAGTGAGGGGGCAAAATTTGTAGATGATACAAAATTATTCAAGATAGTTAAGTCCAAAGCAGACTGCAAAGAGTTACAAAGGGATCCGACAAAACTGGGTGACTGGGCAACAAAATGGCAGATGAAATTCAGTGTTGATAAATGCAAAGTAATGTACATTGGAAAACATAATCCCAACTCTACATACAAAATAATGATATCTAAGTTAGCTGTTACCACTCAAGAAAGATATCTTGGAGTCATTTTGAATAATTCTCTGAAAACATCTGCTCAGTGTGTAGCAGCAGTCAAAAATGCTAACAGAATGTTAGGAACCATTGGGAAAGGGACAGATAATAAGACAGAAAATATCATTATGTCACTATATAAAGCCATGATATTCCCAAACCTTGAATTCTGTGTGAAGTTCTGCTTACTGCATCTCAAAAAAGATATATTCAAATTGGAAAAGGTACAGAGAAACGCAACAAATATGATGAAGAGTATGGTACAGCATCCATATGAGGAGAGATTAATGAGACTGGGACTTTTCAGGCTTGGAAAAGAGACAACTAAGGGGGAGATATGATAAAGGTCTATAAAATCATGAATGGTGTGGAGAAAGTGAATAAGGAAGTGTTACTCCTTCACATAACACAAGAACCAGGGGTCACCCAATGAAATTAATAAGCAGCAGGTTTAAAACAAAAGGGTGTATTTCTTCGCACAATGCACAATCTGTCTAACCTGTGGCCCGTGGATGTTGTGAAGGCCAAAAGGATAATAGGGTTCAAAAAAGAATTAGATAAGTTCGTGAGGGATAGGTCTATCAATGGCTATTAGCCAAGATGGTCAGGGATACAACCTAAGTTCCCTGTAAGCTATGTGGCTGCACAGCAGGCTATCAAGGGCCATGCAGGCAGGGAGAGGCGCCGGGGAGAGAAGCCCCTCCCTTGGCCCGGCCCAGCCCATGCCCCGGAGTTGCTAGGCAGAGGAGCCCCTGGCCCAGCCCAGCCCCTCCAGAACTGCCATGGCCCAGGAGAGACGCCACTTTCCTGGCTTGGCCCAGCCCAACCCAGCCCCGCTGGAGTTGCTGCGGCCGGGGAGAGGTGCCTTTCACCTGGCCCCGAGCTGCTGCAGTGAGAGAGGGCTGGGGGAGTCCTCTCTCTCCCTGCTGCAATCATGGGGCAGCCTGCACCCCAAACCCCTCATCCCCATCCCTGCCCTAGAGCCCGCACCCCAATCCTCTGCCCCATCCCTGAGCCCCCTCCCTCATCTCCATCCTCACCCCAGAGGCCGCACCCCCAGCCAGAGCCATCATCCGCCCACACTCCAACCCTTTGCACTAGCCCTGAGCCCCCTCCCACACTCCGAACCCCTCGGCCTCACCCCCACCACACGCCACCTCCATATTGGTGTACATAACAAAATTCATTCCACACATGGACATAAAAAAAAATAGAGGGACCACTGGATGCAACCCCATACTCTGGGTGTCCCTAGCTTCTGACTGCCAGAAGCTGGGAATGGGTGAGAGGGGATGGATCACTTGATGATTACCTGTTCTGTTCATTCCCTCTGGGGCCCCTGGCATTGGCCACTGTCAGAAGACAGGATCCTGGGCTAGATGGCCATTGGTCTGACCCAGTATGGCCACTCTTATGTTCTTATGGTTTTTTTCTGCAGTATGGCCACCTAACATGTTATTCCCCATTTTGCATATGTACGTTTGATTTTTTTCTCTCTTACTTTACACTTGTCTTTATTTAATTTCATCTTGTTGATTTTATACCAATTCTCCAGTTTATCAAGGTCATTTTGAATTCTAATCCTGTCCACCAAAGTGCTTTCACCACTCCCAGCTTGGTGTCATCTGCAAACTTTATAAGCATACACTCATTATCCAAGCCACTAATGAATATATTGAATAGTACCGGAGCCAGGACAGATGTTTGTAGGACCCCATTAAATATAGACCACAGGCTCTGACCTTCTGCCCTCTTGAAATCACAGGCTGGCTAGCTCCTCCCTTCTTGTGCCTCAGCTTTCCTCTGATTGGTCCCTGTTGCTGCTGCTGAGGTGTGGGTGGAGCTGTGCATCTAAGTCACAAACCTTTTGGGGGTATTCTGATTCTACCCAGGGGGGCTAGAAAGGCAGCCTGCAAGCATGTGCAGCTCTTAGCTCTGCTCCCTTTCAATGGAGGGAGTAGCTCACTTGAGAGGCAAGACCTCAACAAGCCCGGCCTGTCCCTTGCTCCCCTGTGGTGCACTCTGGTGGTGTTGTATTGATCGGATTGGATGCTACTTGTCCCTCCTTCCCTGACTGCGCTC